TAGAGATACTGCTTGTAAACCAATGATGGTAAGATGATGTCATGGGGTAGGACTGGATAAGTCTGACTTCTTCTTACTCCATTCAAGCATGTACTAGGTATAAGCAAATTGATATTGGATTAGCATTTGTTGGATATGTGTAAAATTATGTGTGTTGATATATCAACTGTCTTTACATGCTTGAAAGAATAAATAAATAAATAATAAATAAAATATTTTCATCCTATAAGAGGGTTGCACTCCTTAAAAGGTTAAGAACGACTTTGTCACAGTATGTTAGTAAGCTATTAAAATTAAGTCAGTTGCACATTATATTTAATTGGAAAGGTTGCAGTGCCATGAGAAAGTAAATCTGCACAGCCTCCTGTTAAATAATCTTTAATTAAAATCAAAAATAAGTCTCGTGAAAATAAAATCTGTCTCTAAAGTTATTGCACTTTGACAATTATAATATTGTAACGTTGGCTGGGTTAGAAGAAGGAGCCAGACAGCAAAACTGCCTTTTATGTGCTCGAGAGAGCTACTTTTTATTCACACACACACACACACACACACAGTGCAACAGGACCAACAGCAGAACACACTTAACAATCCATCGAACCCATAGCTTTGTAGAGCGCATTCTGGGGGATCCTGGCAAGTGTCATTCCACCCCCAGCGCTATAATATTTATAATAGAAACACTGCAGTAAGCCCTTGTATAGATACTTGCTATCAGCCAGTATTCTGGTGTTAGTACTCATACTCTGAAGAAGAGGTGGTATCATTCAGTGCATCCCTATATGTAATTGTTGTTTAATGAATAATTTGGGTAGACAATGGGATTGAAGTGCAAAGTTACAGGTTATTTTGAAGCCTGACACAATAAGCATTTTCCAGCTACTTTAAAATCCTTGTGTATTACATGCATAAGTCAAAGGCTGCAGTCATCACAGAGAAAATATTGATCCATTTACACAGAGTTTTGTCTCTGAGGTGAAAGAGGTCAGTACATGACTGGGGATGGTGTTATCGCCTCATCCTTTGGTATGAGTGGAGATTTGAGCACAATTCCAAATTTCTCTGCTAGAACACCAGGAATTTCCTCATCTTCAAGTTCCCTGATTGTGGTTTCCACCCTGCCCTCTGCTTCCACAGTAGGGAATGTGGTGGTGATCAGTCTGTGGCCAATATAGGCGAGCCTGCCATTTGGTTTTAAAATGGTGCAGAGGGACTTGCAGAAGAAGATGGAGTGGGGAGAGGTCTGGTGGTACTGGCACATCTCAGTAAAGTCCTCCAAACACCTGGATTCAAGCGTGAACTTGTAGATGTTTGTCCATTCTCCATCTAGACCCCTGTTTTCCTCCTTTTGCCACTCCAAAAAGTACATCCCCGTTTCTTTTCTGATACGGTACACTCGGTGGCCCTGCACCTGTGGGCCACTGGTCTCCAGTGAAAGGGGCGCACTGAAACCTGAAGAGCCGAATCCGACGTCGCACAGCCACCGCTGCCCGTCAAGGCTCACCATTACGATCAGATGATCAAAAGGTGGCCCATAGCAGCCCGTAATGAAATTCTTCACCTGACCGGACAGCAGAGTGACCTGGAAGCCCAGCTCGGACAGTAACCAGGACAAGAGACTGTTATTCTCATAGCAGAAACCGCCTCGCCGCTGGTTGACTACCTTGTTGTACAGCAGAGGAAGTTCAAGTTGTACTCGGCCGCCGCTGTGTTGCGTCAGGTCTTCGAAAGGTACTGACAGCAGGTGACTTATGTGAACTGACCGAAGCACGTCCAGGTTTGGCGCTGCTACAGGGCCCGCAAACCCAATGCGCGACAAATACTTCTCCACGTCCATCTGCGCAGATGTCATTTTTGCTGCTTTTCGCAAATGACGTCACCACTTTCACTTTTCGCTTCAGTTTTCCGGTAAATGACCGCCTTAACGTTATATAATGCCTATGCTCCAAAGTACAGCGACCCACAGCTTATGGCTGCTCGGGTTCGTTTGTGTTTTTTTTTTCTTTTGCGGAATTTGCTGTTGTTATGAGGTAAGGTATCAAATAGCCTCATACGCAAATAAACATATTTAGCCCAGGGACACACTTATAAAACTTTCATAATGACAGGGTTTTAAGATCACATGCCTTTTATTGAAGTGACCCATATTTATAAAGACTTTATAACACAACGACTTTTTTGAATAGGCCTTTTATTTTCATTTTACATTTCATCTTACATTTCTGAACAATACACATATTGAAATATTGCCTAGGCTACAAAAGTGTATAAGGACAAGACGAGTAAAAATAAGTAAAGCTAAATACGTTCTAGATGGGGTTTTTTTTCAGAGCAAATTAGATTAAAACAAATTGTTTATTCTCCCAATTTTTTTTAACTTTAAAATATGTTTCCATCCATTTTTCGTGTTCAGCGGCGTCATATAAATAGAGATGCGCTAAATGATAAAAGGTGATTACATGTATCAATTGAATCTTAAAGCGTGTATGTGGCAATGTCCACGATTTATTCTAATCACTATTAATTAACTGATCGCAACAGTATTTCCAGACCCGTGACGTCACACGTCGACACTCCCAGTAGAGGGAGAAAGATGGCGCCCACGCGAGTGCTCAGATGCTGTCAACGGGGTTTAGCGTGGATACCTGTGATTTTTATCGCCTTAGTCGTCTGCTGGTCGTATTACGCTTATGTGGTGGAGCTTTGTATTAGTAAGTAGACTTCCTGCCGCCGTGTTGCTTCTGGAAAGTCTTTAACCGCTTGCGTTTTCATTATGATGCCCACTCAAACACACAGCTGCTGCTGGCCAACAGGAAGTAAATTGACTGCAGCTCAACAATGGTTGGCAATCCCGTCCAGTGTTACCAGCTAATAACCTGGTCGCTGCCATCGCTTTGGATTGGCTTATTTTAATGGGAGATGTGCGCTGGTCAGAGAAAAACTTTCGAGCTGAATGGACTCAGTATGAACCGTTTAAACGGTGGTTAGTTGGCGTTTTGCTGTTGGTAACAATATTTGGTTGGCTGAACCAGGCAAATAGTTTCCATCTTTCCAATTGAGACCACAGCTTTATCCTAGCGCAATCCTGGGGCTGTGGCTTGGTGCGTTTTGTATAAAAATGAGAGATAGTGTACCATTAACTAAGCCGATGAATAAAACAGATTTGATGTGTTTGAGTTGTGACAGATGTATTGTTGGTGTTCTTAAGGGGTTCCCAACGTTTTTGTACTCATAGTCCCACAGTGTAAGATTTGGAGTTAGTCACATTTTATTTATGTCTACTTTTATGTGATTGCCTTATGTAAAATACACAGATAAACAGATTAGTTGCCAGGGAACCCAGTCTAAGAAGACCAGGCTAATTGTCCCCAACCTTTTTTTTTCTGGCCTATGATCCCCACCTTACAGTTTATATGGCTTTGGTGTGCTCCTGAGTCACAAGTAGTGATTTGTCTTTCACAGATTGTTTCATTCAGAGTTTTTGGATGGTTGAAGAGGTGAAATGTGTACTACACATACAAACTTGTGCATACAAAGAAAAAGCAACTAAAATTCAAAAACATTTGATCACGTCACACAATTTTCTTCAGAAATTGAGTTTGTCTAGTTGTCGTGAAATTTTAATTATTCTCTTTCCGTGTTTCACAATTGTCACAGCCATTTCAGACTTTTCGTCCACACTGGCCCAGACTTTTAGTGTTAACGTGTATTTTTAACCTTAGAACTAACATGACAAAAACATAAACACAAGCCAGGTTATAAGAAAAATTTGGGTGAACAAGCTCTGTCTGCAGAGAGGGATTGTGTGACTTGATCCAAAGATTGAGAACAGGTTTAGTTTTTTCCTGCAGTTGACCCCTGGTTTGAAAAACATTGGACAGATATGGAAATAGTTTACATGTACTGTACAACATTATAACGTTTTTAAAATCCTATATTCAAACAGGCAGTCTCAGTGAGATTGTGACTTCTTTTTCAAGTGACCTGTGTGCAGGTAAAACAAAATTTAAATGCACAGTAGATTTCACACAGGTTTATGTGAAGAAAAACATTTACAAATGAAATATTTTTGTTTAAAATGGCAATTTTATTTACAGTTTTCTGCCTAATTTATTTGTAGAGAGCATAGTGTGTAAAACCAGTTCTCCAACACTCATTTAACCAGGAGTGGAACTGTGACCTAACTCTGTAAATCCTGTTTATTTGCAATGGAGATAAATAAATACAATGCAGTTCCCTTCTGTTGATTAAGTAGGACTGTCCCACCTTTTCATGTAAGACCAATGGCAAGTGAGGAATTTATCTCCTGTGATAAAGCACATAGTACACAGAGGTAAGGTGGAGGGAGAGGCTGTGTATATACACAGTATCACCAAAACCAAGAGCGGACAGTAGTTGGTTGCAAAATGGTCCTGACTCGCAAAAGAGAATCAGTGTTTCAGTACAAAAAGCTAATTTTGATCTTAAGCTGGTCTTTACGAAACTTTGTAAAGCATCCTTTCTTGCAAATGCAGCATTGATGAATAAAAAATTACTTTGTTTTCCCTGTCAGTTTTGGTTTGATTGTATTTTAATGAACAGTCTAACACTTCTCTTTTTGTCTTTTACAGTCACCATCCCCAGTATAGGAGAGAAGAGTAAGTATCCTGGAGAATTAAAACAGTGATTATTTATTATGTTGTGGACTTAGCCAGTCTTCTGCTTATTGGGGTAAAATCTTTTTGGTCCTGTCCTCTGCATACATACCTTAAAAAAATGGCTGGCACCAAAAATTTGCTCTGTCAAAGTGCTGATGTCAGTCTACTTGACACAGTGCAGTTCTTCCTCATTCAGCATTAGCCTTCCTCTCTCATTAATTAGATATATAGATGTGCTGTGTTTCTTCTTTTAGTCCATACCCTAAATGACAGCAGTATTTTCTTATCAGTTTTAATGGTAATTTGCCTTAAGTCGGCTGTTGATCCTGACACTTTTTCCCTTCCAGTTGTCTACCTGATCTTCTTCCACCTCTTTTTCATCATGTTTGTATGGTCTTACTGGAAGACCATCTTCACCATGCCTGCCAACCCATCCAAAGAGGTACAATAACCTGATTATCTAAAATAAGCCCACTGCACTTGCCTGTGTGTAACCCCATGTTGCCATAAAGTCAATTTGATGAATGCATTTTTTTAATGACTATTTTTTTGCTACAGTTTTGCCTTCCTAAGGCTGAGAAGGAGCGTTACGAGAAGGAAGAGAGGCCAGATTCCCAGCAAGAGATCCTGAGCAGAGCAGCCACCAGCTTGCCTCTGTATACTCGCACAGGAGCTGGAGGTACATCTAAATGTCATTGCAGCTATGTGCACCTTTGTGTTGGAGCCAGGTCCAATATTAATTAGATACTGTTGTGTTAACACAATATAGCAATCCGTTACTGCGACCGCTGTCAAGTTATCAAGCCTGACCGGTGTCATCACTGCTCTGCATGTGACATGTAAGCAAGGCAATTTTATGAATATATACAGTTAGACCTTCTCTTGGTACAGCCAAGATATCCTTCTCTTCCTCTTGTCACACATCTTTTCAAACTGTTAATTTTATTTTTGCCATGTATTTAAAATTTGCTTTTTTTGTATTCTCTTGATGTGTATGGCAGGTGTGTACTAAAGATGGACCACCATTGTCCCTGGTATGTAAGATGTGCTAAACAGAGATGTACTGCACATGTGCCATCTCACATTTTATTCTTTCTTTTTATGTTGTTAGCTGCCTCATGCTTGTTTGATAGTATATGCAGATAATTCTGCCTCCTCACATTGTTAAAGTCCAGTGTAACACAAGTTGCAAACTCCTCTCAGAACTGACACATGTTCCACTGTTTATCACTGATCGGTGTGGTTATATTTCTTAAGTCCAAGGTTGCTTGTAACCTTGAAGGCAACAGAATTTTCTATCTACATTTTATCCAACAAAATAAAACTGTTTGGTGTTTCCAGTGACACAAAGCCTCCACCTTTCCATGTTGATAAGGTTTGTGCTCAAACAGCCAAATGCCAGATCTGACCCTTCCGTCTTTGTGTGTCTTGCAGGGTCAACAACTGTGTGGGGTTCTCCAACTACAAGTTTTTTATCCTCTTCCTGGCCTACTCGCTGGTGTACTGTTTGTTTATTGCAGCCACGGTGCTACAATATTTCATCAAGTTCTGGACGGTGAGTAACGATGCACTGGAGTACTCTGCGCTGCTCAGTCTCCTCAGCATGTAGTGGAAGAAGTGACAGTGTGTCTGTGGGATGTTACAGAGGATGCAGATTTGGCTGCATGTCGAAGTGTCCTCTGCGTTGTTTGTGCATGGTGCTGAGCTCTCCTGTGCTGAGCAGTGCTGCTTCTCTGCTGTCTCTGTCCTCTCTCACCCTTCACCCTCTGACCCCTCTCTGTTTCTCCTTCTGTTATCCCCAGTTCTCCCACACTGGCTCATTGTTCTCTGGTCACTGTCTTCCTCTCCACTATCAGAACCATCAGTTACACCACTCATGCAGCCACAAGCACCACTTTACTTTCTTTTTTGTAGCTGATTTTCTCTTATCTCTGCCTTTTTAACCCATTGTTTCCTCCATCCTGTGCCCACTTTGTACATTCATCCACTGTCTTCCTGTCAACCCTCTCCCCCAAATCACCCAGCTTGTATTTGTTCTCCCCCAGTTATGCTAACCAGTCTTGTTTCTGTTTATGCTAAAGCTTTGCCGGAGGAAATCAGCAGAGAACTGCCCAAAGGTAACCCTTTAGTAAGCCTTTAGTGTCGCAGTGCCTCACCGTCGTTACCATGGTTTTTGTCATGATGTGCATACAGTGACGTGGTTCACATGGCGCACTCCTCTTATTTCTCTATTCCTCTGCCCTTTTCTTTTTCCTTTCTTCCTTTTATTTCTCATTCTCTCCATAAATGTCCTCAGTGTGATTTTGCTGTTGATCCCTCTCTCACTCTCCTCTTCTGCCATCTCTTCCCCAGAATGAGCTGCCGGACACTCACGCCAAATTCCATGTTTTGTTTCTTTTTTTTGTGGCGGCCATGTTTTGCATCAGTATTCTGTCCCTCTTCAGCTACCACCTGTGGCTTGTTGGGAAGAACAGGTCCACTATAGGTAACACAAACCTTCGGCAGATTTCCCTGTTATTTAACCAGCCTAAAATGTGAACATGTTTCTTGGTGTGTATTTTGTGTGTTTTTCTGCAACTATCATCAACACAGAATTTGACACAATTTGTTAAGAGGTTTTAAACAGATGAATATTCAAAGAAAGATTCTAACCTGTGTAGTCTCACACTTCTCAGCCCATCTGTCTTCTTTTTTGTCAGATATTGCAGTTTGTTCAGTTATTGTTTTTTATTCTCTGTCTGATTTTGTCTCCCCACGTTGCTCCCTCTCTGCAGAGGCATTCAGAGCACCAGTCTTTAGGACAGGCTCTGATAAAAACGGCTTCTCTCTGGGTTTCCGGAAGAATATCTCTCAGGTTTTTGGAGACCAGAAGAAATACTGGCTGCTGCCCATCTTCACCAGGTAAGTCCTGCAAATTTAGACTTCAACAGAGTAGATGAAGTTGGTTTTACAATGCTGTCAACAACACTGAATTCCTGGTAAATGTGGATTTTGTTTCAGGGGCATAGTGTGGTTCCTATTTATGCATTATGTATAATATTTAGTAATTGATGCTAGAACCAAGGAGAAAAGAAGTGCCTTCTTACCATAACTGACACAGGTTTAAAACAGTGTCTCTTCTCCTTTGAAATATCAGCTTAGCTTTGTTGTGGAAATGTAGCCCCAGTGCATTTTGTTGCTCTGCATGTTGATTGCACCTAATCTTCAGTTTCCTCCTTATTTACTACAGCCAGGGAGACGGGCTGACCTTCCCAACACGCCTGGTCTGTGCAGATGCAGAGCAGGCCACAGTGTCCCAGCACACAGAGCCCAGTAAAAGGTGATCATTCCAAGTGTAAAATACATGAGGCTATGAAAAAGATGTATGTTCTGGAAGGAGTTGTGGATACACACTTAATTATGCTGTTTTTTAAATTTTATTTGTGGGACACATTTCCAGTGCTGCCGCCATGAGCCCGCTCAGTGAGTCCCAAAATCGCCTCCTGAGCAATGAACAGCATGCCAACAACATCGAAGACCATTTAGCTAATAACACCCTCAAATCAGGTGAGTTCCACCAGGGATGATGATATTTCACAGAGAAAATTAGCATTACCAATTCACTGTTTGGAATCTGTCACCCTGTCAAATTTCCTGTTTGCATTTCCAGCTGAAAGTGAAACCATCACAGTCTCCATGGAGAGTGAGTCCTAACCAGGTTAGCTTGAATGAACTATATCAGTGCATCTCTGACTTTGTTGTGTACAGAAGTCAGGTTTTGTTTACATGTCAGTGTTGCATTGCACAAGTTTGCAACTTTTTAGAGTGCAATCAATGGTTTAATTATCTTTGATTTATTTCTTTTTGGTTTTCTTTTCCTCTGCCGCAGGAGGAACTCGTCAGTCGATGCCTTAAGCAACGCATTGGTTCAGTCTGTCACCATGGTAACAGTGTCTCAGTGGAACCCCCACCCCATCCAACCTGTTCAGAGAAACAACTGAAGTGCATTCATTTTACCCATCGACCCTGTAATGAAATCCAGGCCTTGGCACTTATTGCATGCAGTGTCACAAGAAAATCTCATAGAATATGTGACACAAGCTTGTTCCCTCTCACACCGGCCCACACACACGCTAACTGTCACACATTAAGCTTCCTTGTGTTGTTTAGTTTTCTTTTTCTCACAGCTGGAGCCTTTATTGGAGATGAGAATATTCACTTTATTGTGCCAAAAGTCATTTTATTGGTACAAAGCTGCAGTGAAGAGCTGGGGACAAGCTGGAACAGTGTGGCTGCTTTGAACATTCCTCTTATGTGGTTTTAAAAAGGCAGTACATCACATGAAAATGGATCCATTTACCAATGTGTCCGTTTTGTCTTTTTATTTTTTTCTTTTATAGCTGGAGCGTGTCTATGGTTTGCAGCTTTGAGATGGATGTTTACCCACCTAACATGAACTCTATTACAGGGGACCCTGTTGCATGTTTCAGTGGACTGAAGTAGTTCACAACAGGGAAGACTGTAGCCAGAGTTTGGATGGTATTTTTGATAACAGAGCACAAGTTGGCGCATTTGCACTTTGTAGATTATCCGTGTCCATCAAACAGCATGTGGCTTTTTTAAAATCATATCCAAAAAGCATCCGTCATTTAACAAATGTTGGATGATGATGTGATTTATAGTGTATTGTGCGTCTGTGTGTAACAGTTGAAGTGGCAGTTCGTTCTTTAAATAACTAATGAACTAAAAGAATCAGCTTCATGTCTTTGTTTTCAACTTGTGTTATAATATGCTGCTTATGTATGGACAGTTTCAAAACACTGCAAAGTGCAGTGTCCTCCAGTTCTATTTTGGAGTCAGTTGATTATGTTAAATGACGATTAGTGATTCTTAGCCCACAGTGTCTATAACCTGTTTTCTCTACAACTCAGTGCTTCAGCCTTTACTAAAAGACCAACATTCTTTGTCAAATAAGGGCTGACCGGTCAGGAGCTCTGACCTGTGAACCTGAAGTGTTTACAACATCCTAGCTTTATCTCAGCCTCACTGGCCAATGTCATCATAACCAAATTCTGTTTACCAGTGGTGTGGTGTGATATTTTATTCAAGGTTTATCTGGCTGTGTAGTGAGTCGTCATGTTGCTGCAATACTTGCGCTGGTCAGCAGGTGGCAGCAAGGCTTCTGTTATCTGCCCTCATTCATATGAAGACTTTTCTGTACTTTGTGAAACATCTGGCTCAGGGCTTAATTCACTTTCAGTCTAATTTACAGGTGCAGCTTTCTTCAGAATAAAATATTTTCATAGTATGTGAAGGATGCAAATTAGCTTAAAGCTCAAATGGTGCATCATGGTGGCATGTTTGAACCATACACTGTCCCTTTTAAATAAATGAAGTAATTATATATTGTTTTCAAGTAGTAATAATTCCGATTTAATTTGAAAAGAAAGTGAATTGAACCCAACTGATCTACAGTCAAAGAAACGTGTTGGCAGCATCTGCTCGCCTTATCTGTTCTGTATGTACTTTGGCTTGTGTAGAATGTAACAGTCTTGTGTCATTGCTGAACAGCTGGGATGTGACTAAGATCTGTAACCTGAAAAGGGAGAATTCTTATTGTACGAGAGAAATAATTAGACTGCATTACCTGTGCATATTGCAATATGAGTATCTGGTAAACAATGGACTATTCTGTCTGGACAACCAAATAGCAATTTTTAGGAAAGAGCTACTCTGATGATGATTACATTTTTGTCATGTATATGCAACTTTCCAATTCACATTGGAAGAGAAACGGTCAATTCCTGATGCCTGTCATTGCTCTTGTCTAGCTGATTATATCCGTAACTGTTGCTGGACAAGCCTACTGCTCATTTCACCAGATTAAAGTTTACTGCACTTTCTATTATGTACAGAGAGTTAGTGGTGGTGCGTTTGTTGGTTATCTGCACCACAGTTGTGTTGAATGTACCACAGATGTGACAATGAGAGTGTTTGACAGAATGAAGGAGCATTAAGAACAGCCTGTTCTTTGGCCTTTGTTTACATTGTATCCTTCCAATCATGTTTGAACCCAAGTGTATTTATACTTGCTATTTGCAAACAGATGATTGGAGGATATGTGTTACTGTATGACTTATGCTTAGTATCAGGTGGCTAAGTATCAGAATCACTGTGGTCTGATGTAATTACTGTCAGAGATCACGATCTAAGCCAAGGTTTCCTTATGATCATGTACTCATCTTTTGTAAGCCTCAAGCTTAAACATCCTTTTAAAGAAAAAGATTTTTTTTTAAATAATTCTTTCATCTGTAATGAACCTGGTTTGTTTCAGTCATGGCCACTGATTCTGAACACATTGGACCGGTCATCTTGTTGTTTGAAGAGTCGCCTATATTCTCTCTGGGCTGTTTGGCCTTGAGACTAAAGTGTGCGTGTGTATTTTGTAATGCTTAATCGAGTGGTTTTTTTTGTAGTGGTGTTCTCTAGGAAAAAAATGTTTCTGTGCAGCCATGAGATTTTTACATATCTGTGCGTATACTTTATTGTCTGATTAATGCTCAAAGGCATGGCGCCTAACTTTTGAAAAATGTTTTATGACAACTGGTATTATGGTATTAAAACAGACATTGAGGATTTCAAATAAACTAGGTGCATCATGTTTTAAATTAGCTTTACTCTGGTCTGTCTCTTTATAAATGAAGCCATACAAAGTCATGACATATGTATTGTACACCGTTCAGGTGTAGCTTATCATAACTTGCTTATTACTATATTTTGGTTTCTTTTTGTTACAATGTGCTGTTTTGCATTGTGTGTGTGTATACATATATATATATAGATAATATAAAAAAAAGATTACATATATATTTTCCTTGTCTGATTTTACTGTTTTATTAATGAAATTCAGACCTCTAAACAATTAACGTGAAAATAACAAAGTTTTTTAAAACCTCCACTCTAGTTTGGCTATTTATGTCTACCTCAGTAATTTATCAGGCTTCTTGTGAAGATACAAAATGCACTGTACAACGTTTTACACACATGGCATTCCTCAAGACTTGTAAAGAGGCCTTGATGTGTAAAGTTGCTGGAGTTTCCCTTTAGTTATTTAAGATTACATACTGAGTAAGAAGTGTTTAGCATAATTTTTGTTTTTGAAAATGATTACAAACATTACTGATGAGGGCAGCATGGTGGTTAGTGTTGTTGCCTCACAGCGGAGTTTGCATGTTCTCCCTGTGCCTGCGTGGGTTCTCCCCAGGTACTCTGGTTCCTCCCACAGTCCAAAACATGCAGCTTTGATTGATTGGCTACTCTAAATTGCCCGTAGGAGTGAGTGTATGTGGTTGTCTGTCTCTGGTTGTCAGCCCTGTGATAGACTGGCGACCTGTCCAGAGTGTTCCCCAGCTCTCACCCAGTGTCAGCTGGGATTGCCCCCACCCCCCCATGATCCTCATTACAATCAGTGGTATAGATAATAGATGGATATTATTATTGTAACAATTATTGTAGAACAGAAAAAGAAGAGGACAGTTTGCACAGTGGTCAGTTTTGTACCAGTATTGGTATGTGCTCAGTGCTCGGAATGATAGATAACGTGATGCAAGTTATTCAAAGTTGCAGTTACAGCATAAAGGCTAAATAATTAACTGTTTGCCTTACACTGTCAAAAAAAAGTGATTAGAAACAGAAAACACTGCTTTTGTTACTACACACACGATCTAATGACTCAGGAACCCATATGAACCTTGACCTTCACCCTCTGTTTGACATCCAGGCCCTTGACTTCTGCTGTTGGCTCTGTTCCTCCTTCAAGTTACACTTAAATTTTCTTTACAAATTTGCCTGACAAAGCTATTCACACTATAAAGTACAAGATATGCACATGACAGAGCAGACCCCTGGTGTAGCACACTGGCCAAGGTGACAACAGCACAATGTTGCAAATGCTACAAACAGACTGGTAAATGAAAGAAAAAGTTCAAATTTTGGAGTTTTTGTATTTGTTTTATATTTGATTGGCTTAAATGTAAATAAAGTGTATCTTCTTAAAACAGGAAGAATTCAGATTTTGACCAGATGCTTTTATCTTTTTTCATGCATACATGTCCAAGCACTTTTAGCCTCCCAAGGTAATGACCTCTGTGTCAGTTTTTCAAGGGAGAGTAAATAGTAAGTTGTTGAAAATCAAACAAGTCAAACCTCTGCAAGGCCAAAGCCATCGCTGCCTCACAGAAGAGCTGCAGATGGCTCATCCATTAAAAGTAAAACCTGTCATTCATGTTGATTTTGTATAGTAATATCAGGGTCTACAAACACAGCTGACAGCATACCTTAGCAGGTCATCAGAGCGTTAAAACTTTAGTGTATGATGTGATCAGGTGTTGATTTTGTCTGGCATATGGTTGAGAAATCAGAAATTGCTCAGAGCTGCTCCTGTCACAGTGTGGTTAGCTGTTACCTTTCTCACTAAGGATCTTTCCCAGGTTGATATCATCCTCACAGTCTGTCTCTTTGTAACCACACTTCAAATTTAAAAATTTAAATAGAAACAAAATATAATTTTTAGGGTGGAATTTTCCATAGCTTTCCTAACAAAGCTATGTTTTGGCTGAGCATTTCTGTCACTTTCATAAACTCAAGCCAGTCAGGACTAGTGATTTCTGATGAGTACAGGCCCAGTAATAGAAACGTAAGGCAGGGAGTGCCTTCATGTAGCCAGAATCAACAGGAAAGCTGCTCAGACTTGAACCAAATGATTCAATGGTCACATTAAGTCATTTTGTAACATCAGTGAACACACACAGCAGAATCTAACTTTACTAGCATGTAAATACTGGTTGATGCATGTTGTGCACTTCTCATCCATCCTATATGCATCACTGTACAAAGGGTTTCTCTTCCCCTACATGGCTGGATGTGAGAACACATCCCTTTTTTTATGCCCCTTGGCTGTATTAGTCACTGCTCAAATGTGTCTGTGCACGCAGCCCAAGGCCAAAGAAGTTTCAACTCTGAGCGACAGAAAAACAAATGTTCTGATATGTAGAAATGAACATAACCTGTTATGTTCATTTCTACATATCAAATATTTGTCTCATTTACAGCAGTTATGTTTGTGGGTCAATTTGACCCGTAACATAACAGGAGGGTTATTTAAACCTGTGGAAGCCAAGGTTTGTCTAAAAGAACAAGTAGATGTGTAAATTGGACAGAGTTGATGGAAAAGACTCACTAAAACCAAACCAAATTATGACCGGTTCTCACAAGAGATAACAGCTGGAATGCAAACAGCTTTTGATGAGATGAGATTTTTGTTGGAAAAAAAATCCTAATGAAATGCACTTTAGTCATCACTGCTCTTCAGTGTAAAACTGACTTGAATTCAGTGATGTCTTGGATCTCTACAGTATAAAGGTCTCTCAGTGTTGTAAAAAAAACAGTGTAAATGATTTACAGCAAATGCCTCACATGACAATACCCCTGCATGTTGCTATGGGAATTGGGGGCCATGTGATGTGTCTGCCCTGTCCACAGGCTCCAGTCCTGAAAAATGCCCCCTCTCATACACACACACACACACACACACACACACACACACACAGGCAACCCAGTGCTGTTCAATTGTCCTTCCCTTATCCTGTTATCAATGTTACTGGAATTTTCCTGTGAAAATATTCCTATTCAGCCGGAAATCACCATCTGAGAACAGAAGGTTATGTGTCTCCACTGGCTAAGCCACCTTGAAATCCACAGAGGGAAAATGAGCCCTGCAATGTCACAAAAATGTATATATTCAACAAAAAAACATATGAAACATAACAAACATGGAACACTTTAACAACTTTCTTTGTTTATCATAAAGATTTTTCTTTTCGTTTTTGGTCATTCCCCATTTCAGCCTGTAACATGAATAATTTTATCCTCAGAGAGCGGAAGAGTTGTTACTGTACTTAGGGCTAAGTAGATTTATCAGGTATCTGTAGGCTACTCCATTTCTCTGAGAGCTTTTTATTTTTGTTCCCTATATTTTAACACATATCTGTACTTTGCACTCCTGTTATTTTCAAATCAGGCTCATTACTTTTAGTTTGAATACATTTAAGTGGAATATTTAATTATTTCTATTTAACTCTTGCTGCAAAATGTGCACAGCACTGCAGTGGGTGACATGCGTCTTCATTACAAACTACTTACTTTACAGCATAGATGTGAGTTACAGATGGCGCGCATGCGTAGTTGAGTCGCGTAAATTCAGCGGCTGTAAAAAGTTATGATAATTTGATGCTTTAGGGCTGCATTTTTAACAAATATCCTGGTCTTGTGTTTCGCAATAAAGAAACATGTCAGCGTTGTATTTCTCTGATGTGTTTAAATGTTTTTGAGCAATAACTGAGAACTATGGCACAGACGAATAAAATAATCCAGGTTGTAGGCTGAGTAGAAGCAGTTCATTGTTGGTTTGGAGGATTGTTGAAAAGACTATCTTTTAAGGCTTAATTAGATTTGAAAATCTCAAATGTGCTCTTGTTAGGTAATATTATTTATTTTTGGTAGCCTTATTCCTTTTTTCACTTACAATTATTTAATAGCCTTGGAAATATGACGTGAGGTTCAGTTATTGTTGGGCAAAACAGCTGGTAGTCTTCGAGGAGCTGCTTTTTACTTATATACTTTGAGTACATTTCAGAGCTTGTACTTTTAATTTTAATTTTACTTGAGTAAAGCGTTTGAAACAGTGCTTCTACTTTTAGAAGTCTTTTTTCACACAGGTATCGGTAGCCAATTTACTTGAGCCACGAATGTGTGTACTTTTGCCATCTCTGGGGAAGAAGGCGTGTCCAGTGATTGCAAGACATGTTTCGGGGTTCCAGGGAAACGCATATCCCCCTCGGTTAAATTGGATGACGCTCTTTGGATCTTTGGAAGGAAGAGTCATCGCGGCTTCTGACTTTTACGCACCGAGCGTTTCAGGATACAAGTTGCATTCGTGACAATCCGTCGAGAGCAGCCAGCATGAATAATGCATCCAACCGAACTATTGACCCGAGCTGTACGAGCAAACCGCCTCTGGCCATCGACATCATCCTCAGTGAGTAGACTGGGTTTAGTACCACTGATTTTGTCCTAAGCAAGGAGCCATCTGCTGAGATTCTTTACAGGGTGATAGAGTGCAGAACACTTTATACCCCAGCAGACTGAATCCACAGGGACTCCTTTATAGTTAGGTGTGATTTTTTTTTTTTAATGCGCCTGCCTGATGAACGGAGCGGCGGGGAGACAGAAAAACCTTGGGTCGTGATTTACTGGGACTTGTTATAGATTCCTGAAAGCTCCTGGACCCGAACTACTGGGAGGCAGTGGCGCAGTGGTCCTCTTGATTCTTTTGTGGCTTGTGATAATAAAGTAGAAAAGGGTTCCTTCACAGTTTTAGGGGCAGACTGACGGTTCATATTTTACTGTGGATGGGTTAGGTATTAGGGTTAGGGTTACCCTAACCCCCTGAATCCACATAAAAATCGGTTGAGTTCACTGACCCCAGGTTAAAGCACTCAGAAGTGCAGTGAACATTAAGCTTGACTAGTGGCAATACGTGTTCAGATTGAGCTCAGTTCTCAGTTGCTTATTTGCAAAAGAAAATGATCAGGATAACCCATTAAGCCATTATACTTGGGTGGTGGTGGTATTATTTTAAATGATACTTAATTGTTCCTTTTTGATTTACAAAATTATTTGTCCCATATGAAACGCATATATCAGTGGTGAAAACCAAGATAAAGCACCATTCTGTCTTACAGCATAAAATATAGTCAGAAGACAACAGGAAGCTTACCTTTCAGAATAATGTTGTGCAGCTTTGTTTCCTGCTCTAGTTTCATTAGAATTTCTAATATACCTACTGTATTAAAGTACTCAAAGTCTGTGTGATTAGTTTAGACCTGCATGAATTTTATTACAATAGAAGAACAAAACTAAATGTCTGGTGCTGTATTTAATGCTGTACTGTGCAGTTTTGGATCCTAATCCTAGTCTACGAAGCAGTTACAGAGTTACTGATTTGTTCAGAAAGAAATGTCAGGTTTATTTTTCAAAGGTTGAAAAGCGTGCGTGCACCTCCTCAAAAACTTCTTTGCATCATGTGCATAGGACAAGATGCAGGACTAGTACAATAAAACAGTTAGACCCACACACTGATTTGATGCTCCAAAAATTATATTAAGGCCAAGCTACCACACAAACAACGTGCCGACATTAAGTCTTCATCAGATATTCACAGCTTGTACTCTGACCTGACATGTATAAAGAGTCCTTCAGACTGATGGCAGGTGTGACACCACACCCAGATCAATCAACATAAAAACAATACAATAACAATACTCACATGCGTTAATGAGCACAGATTGAGTGATTGAGTATCAGACGTGATCTAGGAAGTCCAGTGGCAACACATTTAAAAAATATAGGACACAACATTAGGTCCATGAGATACATTGGTTTTGAAACAGTTGTCATTTATTTAAGGGGTGGAGGTCGAGATAAGACACTTCTCCAAAGGGAGGCATATTGGATTTATACATTAAACACACTGTCTCCACATGGACTGAATGAGGACTTTATTAGACCTTTTCTGTAGGTTAAGTTCATGATAAATTGGATCTTTGTATAGGATATAAGCTTTATTTATAGGATATAGGTTTATTTAGTGGTTGCAAATACTGTGTATGGACTGAAAGCATCGTTTTGCGCTACTGGATACTTTAAAACCTCAAGTAAATTCTGGATCAGTTTTGTCTTAATCATGTAAGATATTACCCAGTTCTTCTAACCAGGAACTCAGAGAGATGAGGCGGACCACTTGGGTATATAAAAAATAACTGTGCTGGTTTATTCAAAGGATCACAGGTAAAATTAACATTACACGTCCAGGCATCTTCCACCCCCAAACCTGTGCGCAGGCAGCATGGAGGATAAAAGACCCTGAACCCTCATGCCTATACAATTTTATCCCTTGGTTGGGCTAGCCCATGCTACACAGGAACGTCAACCGTGACGTCACCTGATATGCCAGCTTCACAGCTGGCCGTAGCAGTAGTCAAAACATGGAGAGAATCAATGTGTGTGTGAGTGTTGATCATGTGGTGTGTATCTAAAAACATACAGGACGTTCAGGGACATGTCCGGACATTAAGCCTCGGAAGATATTATGATTAAGATTATGGCTGAACATATCATGCTACTAGCAATATTCATCCTGCCTGCAGACTCTTCAATCTAGTTGACCTTGGCCTAGATGCAGCCTGCAGAACTCCTGACAATGAACTGAGCATTTAACAGCCTGAGCTAGACATCCTGGCTACACTAAACATTCCTATACAACAAGTATCTAATCAATATCTACCTGAGTAAGAAATTACCTAACAATCAAAAAAGTTAAAATCTTTACATGCCCACTTTTTTCATAAGCCTCTGCACATTTGCGACTGCATTAGACATCAGATGGTTAAGAATTATAGGTGGCATATTACAAGAATTTAAACAAACCATTTCAAAACTCAAATGTGTCAGTTATTAGTTGGAATTTCAAGTTTTTGTTCAATGAGCAATAAAAAAGTAACTGAACAAGCACAGCAACACACAGGGGATGATGACCACCCTCACTGTTTGTGTGTGTGTGTGTGTGTGTGTGTGGTTGGTTGTGTTTTTGCCTCCTGATTGACCCTAATGACTTTGGATACCAAAGAATAACTGATGCCAATTATCAAAACACTCACAATTACTGGCAACATTTACTGTACTACAGCTCCCACTCTTTGTTTCATTTTGAGCCTGTTTTACTTTGACACATCTGTTTGAGCAATTCACTTGTGCCCATGCATATCTGCTGGCGCCTCCCTATATGGTCAGTTCTGGAAACTACACTGTCTCCTACTTACTTACTCTGCTCATAATCCTAACCACATCAGACTTTTCAGAAGCTTTGAGAAACACAACAAATGCTGTTGCATATTGTATAATTAATAGACTTTCCATGTTTGGCTGTCAGTTATATTGGTTTTCAAGGCTGACTTGGAAAAAAAACTTGTATTGTGTTTACACCGCAATGCTGTTGTATATCATAATGTGACACAAGGAAAAGACTCTGTGGTTCATCAGATGCTTCTACCTTGTTTTATTTAGTCAGCATTTCAGAGGTCTACGGTAACAGTCTGCCTTTGATTTCCAGTGGTCTTGTTTTTGCTTTCACTGTACATTTTTTCACAAGTTATTTTGAATCACTGTTGAGTATTTTCTTCAAACAAACAAACAAATAAGATATGAAAAGAACCTTACATTCTGTTCTGGCCTCAACCTCAAAACTATCACATCAGTATTTCTCTGTTTTAACTGTCCTTTTTATTTAGGTATTCTTAAAAGGAAAGTGCATTCTAACATGTTAGTCCAAAATCTCCCGTAGGTGTGATTGAGATCTGGTGACTGTGAAGGCTACAGCGTATGATTCACATCATTTTTATACTCATCAAACCATTCAGTGACCCCTTGTGCCCTGTGGATGGGGGTATTGTCATCCTGGAGGAGACTATTCATTTACTCCTGCTGTACATTTTACATACTACACTGCAAGGGCACCATTTATTTTCCTGCAACAATTTATCCAACCTGTCACACCTTTCAAGGGTTCTAAGAGTTTTTAGTTTGTTTCCAATGTCTCTGATATAATCTAAATACTGATTAATTTGATAATGGCACAAGATAATATCAAGTTGCTAGTCCAGACAGCAAATTTGATACAATTCCCCTTCTCTCCCTCCAGAGTTGGACCTCTTTGGTATCATCCTGTACTCCATACTCACTTTCATGGCAGCAGTGTCCATGTTGGTCTTCCTAGAGGAATGTATTTACATCTACAGGAAAGTGCCTGCCAATAAGAAAAGTTTAATCATCTGGGTGAATGGAGCAGCACCGGTAAGACACTAACACACTGCTGGAAGAATTGGTGGCAGAAAGATTGAAACAACACTGATATTTTCCTCTGGTTCTGGAGCAAACTGCACCATTGTTGGACAAACGTGAACTTTCCTTTCTTGTTATTGTTTCAGGTGATTGGCACCATGTCATGTCTGGGGATGTGGATCCCCAGAGCCACCATGTTTACTGATATGACCTCTGCCTGGTGGGTCTTTTATTTGTCCTTGCTTCTATCTTATTGTTCTTCTTTCACTCATTGTACTGTGTGTTTGTACCCACAGAGTCTCACAGTGAAACATTGCAAATGGGGAAACTTGAACTTTATAAACTATTTGGAATTTATAGAAAACAGGGATACTGTTGTGTAATGTGTGGGAGTTATGGCTTCAGTTTTCTCTAGTCTGTCCTCAATGAGTTTATTTCCTCTCTTCAGGCTTCTCTCATTCTTCCTGCCTCCTTCACTTTCTTTCCCTCATTCTTCATTTCCATTTACTTATTTTATTATCTTTTCATAGCTACTTTTCCATCGTGGTCTTCAAGTTCCTGATCATGATGCTGGAGGAGGTGGGTGGTGACGAGGTGTTCCTGAAGCGAGCAGGGAGACATAAACTGAGGATCAGCACAGGGCCGTGCTGCTGCTGCTGCCCCTGCCTGCCACATGTGGCTATCACAAAGTAAACATCCCAGCAAAATACAGTCTGCTGTCATTATTTTCTCTAGCATATACCAAAATTTAAACATGACAAGTTCCTGTTTAAAGGGGGTTATGTACTAGACTATTTCCTGCTGGGAGTTGTTGACCAGGGGCTGTTGGAGTTACTGTGAATGATGACAAAATAGTTTGTCATTTAATGAGTGGTAGAGGTGCTAGCAGGTGGATTTTTGTAGACACAGGTAAGACTAGCTTCTCTAGGCTAAGGCTAGTGTTTCCCTTTTTATAGTCTATAGGCTAATAAGCGCCTATATATTTACTACAGAGATATGAAAGTGATGTTAACATTCTCATTTGGCAAGAAAGCAAACAAGCATAGCCAAAAATGTTTAGCAATTCCTTTAAAGGAGAGAAGGGAGGGAGAAAGGCAGTTGATGCCTTTCTTTGTGACACATATTCATATGCTGTAGCAGTTCCTGCATTACTGAGGTGGTGAATAAATTATCCTATATGCTAATAAGCACACATCCTGTACACCTTCTAAGATAGTTACAACCACATGTTGTTTAAGGACTCCGGCTATTTGGCCTGTTTGAAGATTGTGTAAACTCTCAGACTCTCTGTGCGTACACTATCGGCCTAAATGTACACTCTTGTTGTGCAAATGCAAGCTGAACGCACTCCTGGTTGTTGAACCAGTTCCCTGGTTCTCGGGGTTCTCAGGGCTGGACAATGTATATTGTACTGTAGCACTTTGCGCACGTGACCCTTTTTAATTGTGCAAGGACTGTTTGTGCTTTAATGGTGTGTCACAGTTGACTAATCCAACTGTCCACTTTATTTAAAGTCTATAGTGTTTTTCATTCATGTTGTGTACATTGAAAAGTTAGTCATCTGGGTGTGAGTTTGAGGGTATTCCAGAAAGTGGAATTAGTGTAACCTGGAGTCTGTTAACCCTGAGATAAGGGAAACGGACTTTTCCAGCATTCTATGGCCCAAAAACATAGAACTGTGTGAAATGTATTATTATTATTATTATTGGCAGGAATCTCACAGGTTTTGTTTTTTTTACTAAGGGGCATCTCAATAAATTAGAATATTGTGGAAAAGTCCATTTATTTCAGTAATTCAACTCAAATAGTGAAACTCAAGTATTATATAAATTCAGTACACACAGACTGAAGTAGTTTAAGCTGTTGGGTCTTTGATTATTTTGGCCCACATTTAACAAAAACCCACCGAATCACTATTTCAGTAAATTAGAATACCCCATAAGACCTATAAGAAAACATTTTTAGTGAATTGCTGTAAGAAAGTATGTTCTTTTACTGTATATGTACTCAATACTTGGTAGGGGCTCCTTTTGCTTTAATTACTGCCTCAATTCGGCGTGGCATGGAGGTGATCAGTCTGTGGCACTGCTGAGGTGGTATGGAAGCCCAGGTTTCCTTGACAGTGACCTTCAGCTCATCTGCATTGTTTTGGTCTCTCATTTCTCATTTTCCTCTTGACCATACCCCATAGATTCTCTTTGGGGTTCAGGTCTGGTGAGTTTGCCGGCCAGTCAAGTACACCAACACCACGGTCATTTAACCAACTTTTGGTGCTTTTGGCAGTGTGGGCAGG